CCCTTGATATGTCAAAATGGATCCTACTTAGTACATGCATATGTGGCAGCTGGTTATTTAGTTACTGCTTTTGGCAGGAAAGAGAGGGCTCTGTACTCCAGGTTGTAAATAATGTGTGTTTGTTTGAATTCAGATTTCATTGTGTTAAAATCTTTCTGATACAGCTATCAGCACACATTTGTATTTACTGTTACTTTTTTTGCTTTGCTGCAGAAGTTGGGCTAAATACAGCTTCCTGTATCCTTCTTCCATTAACAAATTTGCATGCCCTTTTCTCTTGGCCTTCCTCCAAATATGTACAGTTTAGGAAATTGTTTAAACCTAAAAGTATCCCGAAATAGAGCTACTTTCTTGTTAATTGTCAACATGAAGTAGCAGAAGCAAATTCATGCGCTAGCAACACTAGCGTTGCGATTTATTGACTATTGAATACTTTGCTATGCAAATGTTTTTGCTATGGACATTGCACAAAACCTGCTTGAGATAAATCGTGTATGTTACAGTACACAAGGTTTAATGGATTACTTTTCCATTGCTCATTTTAACATTAAAACCACCAGCTTCCTGTTTTTCTTGTCCTGAAGTCCTGTCTGTCTGAGCTGTTATAACTTCTAAAATAGCCTGTCAAAAAAGGAATTCAGTGAAGTGACTGAAAAGCGACTTCTTCTTAACCTTTGATTTTATAAACAATTGGTTGAGTCCTAAATAGATTAAACCAGCCTATATTTAGGCCCTAATTTAGAGAATTGATATTTCCACATTTGCTTTGTCATAGCTGGAAGTAGTCACTAAGTTGTGAAAGCTTGTAGCTATTACAAATGCTTGGAGGATTGCTGAGTGTTCTGCCTTAATGCGTTAAGAAGTTCCGCGCACTGTACATTTCAATTTATAATAAGAGAGTCTAGCTGATAGCACAGACACTGAAATATTTCAAGTCTAGACTACTGTCTTAAAAACGAAAGGCTGTTGGCTTTTTGGTGGAATAAGTTGGAAAGTAGCTGATAAGGACAGTTGAAGTGGAGCAGACTTCAAAAAGTCACAAATTCTGTAAGCCAGGGTGAGTCAGGAGGTTTCAGCTGCTGTTTGCCTGCCCTGTCTTGATGAACAGGGAACTCGTGTTTGAAATGGCTAATCAGTCTCGCAAGGTTTGAGTGGTTTCTGGAGGAGGTTGCACTGTTGTTACGCAGGGAAGGTGAGGTTCTGCAACACTGTGTTTAGCAAGAAGAAACAATATGGAGAAACAGAAAAGCAAAGTTCCCTGTCCTCAGAAAATGCTAACATTAGTACTTTGCCCATGACAAAGGTAATGGATGAAAAGGTTAATATAACAGGTGTTCTTATGTATAAGAGCTTATATAGCTCTTTTGTACCTTTGGATAATAAAAATGGCTTGCTGATGATTTTAGAGTGGAACTACATATTGCAGTAAGTGGAGGAAATTATGATGTAGCTGATACTTTTATGACCCCTTTAATATCCCAATGCTCCTTACAAGTCATTGTGTTTATAAAGGCGTTCTCTTACTGCTGCTTGAGGTAGAACATTTTGGTTGCATTTACTGCCATCATATGTTATTAGCCATGGGTAAAAAAAAAGGAGGAATATTATCTTGAACTGGATTTATGAACTTGAAGAGTTATGCAATGACTTTCAGTTTATCTCTCTAACATAATGCCAACTTTCTTTTTCAGAGCCATGGTGTCATGGAAAGGGATATACTTTGTACTTGCACTATTCTTGGGAAGTTTTTTTGGAAGTATATTCATGCTCGGTCCTTTTCTACCTTTGATGTTTATCTCACCGGCCTGGTACCGCTGGATCACTGATTGCATTGTGGCCACTTGGCTCACACTCCCAGTGGTAAGTTGCAGTTTGAGCTAAGTTCTGGGCAACTGTTCGTAATGCTGTGATTTAGTTTGCTGACTAATGCTTTCGATTTTATTTTAATTTTTTAAAGTTTTTTTATGCTTTTATCAAAAGAGGCCTTAACACATTTAGTGTCTGTGGAGACTTAGTTTTAGCTCAGTGTTACAGATTGTGTGCCTCCCTACAGTCACCTTGCACAGTTTATATGTAAGCTAATGCACTGTCTTAATTGTACTCTTGAAAAGGCCTTTTCATGACGTTTCCATCCAGTGTCAGTTAGATGCTGATCAGAGAAGAGTAGGTGAAATGCTAGTGAGCAGGAGGATTTTTTTAAATTACAAACTTCCTAAATGAGTTGTCTTATAGACTCTTCCTTTTGACTCTGCGCCAGATACCTGATTAGGAAAATTATTCACTGTCTGGTACATTGCTGCTGACCTTCACTGTTCTCTTACTTAATCCTCTTTAAGTTTAGTCCTTGTAGTTGAATTAGAGAGAAATGATTTCAGGTGAAAAAGAACTTCCCCTAGAAATGAAGTCTTCCTCACTTAGAATGCATCAACTTTATAGCTATAGGAGTCTCGAAATCAAAAATCAATAACAAAGCTCTTCCCTGAATTGTTCCTGAGGAAAGGCAGTATGAATGGGATCTGTGTCTTCATCCATTCTCTAATAACCAAGGAACTTCATTCCTCTAGGCCTTTAAAGATTTGTTTAACTTTTTCTGAAGTAAAATGCTGTATTGATGTACAGAAATTATTACATATCAAGTGATTTCTGTTTTCTTTGCTTCCGTCTTGTGTGTTTTAAAGGGATGTGAGCTGATTCGTGTCCTAAAACTTTTGTCCTTTTCATCATTACTAAATGCGATGAAATTAGGAGGGAAGAAATAATTAGCAGTAAAGGAAATAAAGGGATTGTTGTTTCTTGTTTTGATGAAGTTTAGCTGGGTACTGATAGTATCACAAAATTGACCCCTTCTCTGTTTGACTCCCAATTTTTCTAAAATTGCAAACTCCCCAAAATCAAATACAGCTCTTTTATTTGATTAACTGCCTGGGCCTTATAATTCTGGATTATTACAACTTGTTTGTGGTAACTTCTGCAGTGTAGAAGTTTGATTTCAGCCCACACTGGGCCTAAAGCAAAATAATTTGAGTATTTTTGTGAAAAGGATTATGTCTTGTAAGAATTTTGGGGATTTAGGTTGAGGAAAAGGTTCTCAAATATTTGCATCCAAACTTTTTGAGGCTCAGACCTTGTCTGCATTAGTTTTCCGTCTTTACTCCATTCTTAGTCAGGAGAAGCAGGTACTTGGGTTTGTGTCTCCAAACAATAGTCTAGTGTTGGACCAGTTAGACTCCAAGAGGGAAACTCTGACCCTGACCTCTGTGATGTAAGAAGCTTCCACCTTCCTAACTCCTCTGCCACGTATTATTTCCTTTCTAGCAGAATTAGCAGGATAGGTCAGTGAGGTGGGTCCTAACTGTTTCAGTTTAGTTTGGCTTATACTAGTGTTAGGGTATGTAGAACAGTACATCTGTTCATTATTATGTTTAACTAGATGTTACATATGTAATGAGATTCTTAATAAACTATAAAAAAAAAGGCTGCTTCTCTCTTTTAAAAAGAAGATAACTGTTTACCATTTTGAGCCGTATGACCTGATCTGCTTTTGCAGTGGTCCATAGTTACTCTTGATAGCAACACCTTTGCCAGAAATACAGTGAGCTGAGTTATTAATAGTATTAATACCTGGCACATATAATGCCTTGCATTCTGAGATCTCAAGCCATTTGCGATCGTCAGTATGTCATCCCAGTTTTATAGATGACTTAAACAGAGAAATTTGTGTTCTTTGAGGTTCTGTGCCACAGAGATGACAGAAATATGAACAAACAAAAAGTTATTTTACTTCCTAGACCTCTGTTTAAGTCCCCATACTTTTTTTTCTTTTTTCTATATTTTTCTGGAGAAAGAATGGGGAAGAGAAGGTAAGGAGGTAATTTGAAGTGCTTCCATTTTTTTATTTTAAGGCCAAATGTTAAGTTTATTCCTGTAGATGTCCAATCGTGTTTTGGTGGTTTACTTTTTCTGTACTAACTAGCTTGGACAGTGTCTTGACCAGTGGCCTCAAGTCGTATCTCTAGGTACTATCTGTTGTCTGACTCTGTTTCTTTGGATTTTGTACGTTTCCACTGTTGCCACTAGGCATTGAAAGGTTTCAAGGCACTCTCATTCAGTCATCCATTTTTGAATTATTTGCCAGGTCCTGGTCTTTTGCTGTGACCAGTCAGAGTCAGCACTCCTCTATACACTTCTCTGCATGATTTGGGAATGGTCATGGATCAGAAACCATTTTCAACAGGCAATTTGGGTGTGGTGTGAACATGGCCGGAGCATGCTGTTGGGCTCTGTTATATACAACTAGTCTAGGTAAATGTTTATGGTCCGACTGTCCAGGTTATGAAACCAGGCCCTCTTAAAAGTTACTGTGTAGCTCTTGCCTGCTTCTTCTTTTTGATAAACCACCGACTTATGATTTATGACTTGACCCTTCCACATATAGCAGGTAAAGCAAGAAACATGTTTTCTATGTGAACTTGTAGCATCGCTGGCTGGTTTTAGGCAGAATGGAGAAAGCTGTTTGCCCAGCCTCTCGTTTGTGTCCTTCCAAGTGTGAGGCTTATTCCATGCTTCAGGACAGCACTTTGCAGATGACTGTGTACCAGCATTTGGTGGTTGATGCTTTTTGCTAATTGTGAGGTGGAGGCCCAGGCTACAAACTGTACTGTGAAGCTTGTTTGGGATTTTTCTCTCTCAGCTGCTCTTTCTGCCGTTAGGTTCTAGCCATTTTTGCAGGTGAAAGTCAAGCACAAAGACATTGACCATTTGGACCCAAGCGGAAAGCAAGGCAGCTTCTGATGCCTTCTCAGCCCTGGCAACGTTGAGCAATAGATTATTTGTGCAGCCAGTCTCTCCTTAGGTTACCTGCCAAGTTATAATACAGACTGATTCCCTCACTTTTATTCCTACATGATAGTATTCTGGGAGAAACAGGGAAAGGTAAGTGTAACGTTGGACATTGATTGTAAAAGAGTGCTTTTTGAGAAGTGCTATTTAATTGCTGCTTCCTCTTCCATTAAACAGTGACTGTTACTTTGGCAAAGCTGACTGCTTTATTATAAAACAGTCAGAAGTTTGTTTACCAGTGATAATGTGACTGAATAAGTGAAATTATGTAATTCAAATTAATTTTTATTGCTAATGGGTTTTTTCTTTTCTTCTGGGAGTAGAGCTATAATATTAAGATATTATTTCTAGGCCTTGCTGGAAGTGGTGTTTGGTGCCAAGGTGGTTGTCACCGGTGATGGTTTTATTCCTGGAGAAAGGAGTGTCATTATTATGAACCATCGCACACGAATGGACTGGATGTTCCTGTGGAACTGCCTGCTGCGATACAGCTACCTCAGACTTGAAAAAATCTGTCTCAAATCCAGTCTCAAGAGCATTCCAGGATTTGGTAGGTCCCTAAACCCTTTGATTTGAAAGGAAAATATGTTTATATATTGCCCAGAACTGTTCATGCCCTGTTAAATGACCTAGGTTTAAATTCTGGTTTGTTATTTTCAAAAAGACTTGTGTAAAATATGTGGCATATTCAGCAATGAAACCGTAAATCTTCTGGAGGACGCTTGGACTACATACTTAAGCATTTCTTTTTGAAGGTACTACATGTGCTGCTGTTGCTTATAGGTAAAAATATTTCTGCTTTAAGTACTGCAAGCATTTTTCAAGATTATGAAAAAAGATTTTGAGCCTTTTCAAAGTCTTTTTGAATGCTTTGGGTTTTTTATGCTGTTTCACCCCACATTGCAAATGCTCTCATCAAGCTTCTTTCTTCATTATCCAATTTATACTATTGAGAAGATTAAAAAAAAAAAAAAAGCCCTGTAGGCAATTGCAAAGTCGATGGTTCATTTTAATAACTAGTTTTAAATTGAACTTGGTTATACAAAATATGCTCTACAGGAGATGAAATAGTCAGTATTTATAGTGATATAGGCTGGAAATGGAACTGAGTTGCATATACTCAGAGGAATCGTTTCAGATAGGCCAAAAAATTGTTGCACAAATGGTTTCTGAATAAATACTTAGACTTATCTGAAATAAAAACATCTCTTTGCATTTTATTTATCTCGTAGATTTATTTGCTGTTTTGTACAAAACTAGCTTGGGCAGGATATGCGTCAACTTTATGATGTTGAAAGAGTAACCTTATCTGTGGTTCCCTTTTGTCAGGCCATTTATCTGAATAGATAATTTTGGCAGGGTTCCATATGGAGGTTCCATATGGAGGAATTCTCATACTATTGAACTGTTACTGCATTCACTCACTGGGCCTTTAGTCCTCCTAAGTAAGAGCTGCAACTAGGTAACGCACTTTTTTCCCCTAACAGTCAAACATTAAGGTAATTTTTACTTGACAAAAGACATCTCTTTTAATGTTACAGGAAATGAGAAAATATGTATTTAGATAAATGTTTTATCCTCATAATACAGCAGAAATATTTTGAAATCTTGGAATCAACTGCATATGCAACTTTTTAAAGCAATGATGGAAGATGAAATCAGGAGTATAGTCTGGAAGATTCATATGTTTATTTCTTTAAAAGTAGCAATTTTTTTTTATTGTACCGAAACATTTATATGTATGCTTATTCATGCCTTTAATAAAATTGGGAGGTCAGCTGCAGGAGCTTGGATGCTATGTTATGCTTGGCAAAATTTGCTTCCTGAAGGGGTGTCAGGAGTTGTTTAGAGGTTGGTTTTTGGGTGTTTTTTTTTTAAACTTTATTTTTTTACCTCCAGTTCTCAGTTCTGTGCATAAACTGAGCACATCTAATAGATTGCTTGGGCAGATGGAGCTGTGGCAGGTCAATGTTAACAGACCACAATGCCATCTTTGTTCATAGTCTGACATAGTAGCTTAAGCCACTAGTGAAATTCTGGGCTCATATTCCACTTTGTGGGCTGTGATGGTAGAGGTGGCACAGGCAGACTCCTGTTGTTTGCATTACAGGATGACAAATTCTGGCAGTAGGCTGAGTGCCTCGATCTGTAGTGTTGTAAACCACTATTTATATGTCAGATCCCTAAGAACCCTCCACAATATCTTTGATTGCAATGCTGTGAATTTTAGCTTATTTTTAGTAGGCTGTTATTAGTCACAGTAGAGGAATCCAGCTAAACTACGTCCTTCACTCAAGCCATAATTTGATAGTCAAAAATCATAAATGTTCAGCTTCTATTCTACCACAGTATATCTGAAATGAGGCCTTAGAAATACGTGTCTCTATGTTCATTCAGCCTGTGTTTTGGGTGGCAGATTCTTGCAAAAATAAAGCATTCTGTATAGCCACATAATTAGGGCAGAGTTGTAAAGTGAGACTCGTGGATGAAATTAAGATTGTCAGAAAAGTTTTCATCATGAATCTGTATGAAGTTTGGTGGTGCAGTGATATAGCAGAAAATGGTGTGCAAAGTGGGCAACCCTGAATATCATCAGTAAGAGCAGAATTTCTCCTGCTTATCTCTATTGACTCTGATGTGTTATGTGATAGACTTTTAATGGGTGTTTGCCAGTTTTTGTTTTCATGAAATTGTGTCTGGTGGTTTCACGTAAAAATTTTGCTTGTTTTAAGAGCATGTAAAGGCAAGAAGATAACTTGGAAATCAACTGGACAGTTTCAGTGCACTGCAGCTGTAGTTGATACTTTAGATGTTGATCATTTAAGATGTAATATTTGTGGAAAACAAACCAGCTACTTTCATCATGTCTTTCAGTTTCAACTTTGCATATATTTATATGAATTAGTTATACATAGAAGCATAGGATTATGGAAGTATTGATATATTGGCTCAGTGTAACTTCTAATAGATCTTTACCTAATGGTACTTTTCCTTTGAGTTTGAGAAATATTTAAATGAAAATAATGTATTGCTTTCAGCACAAATTTTTTATGATCTTTCAAAGGATTTTTTTACAAGTATTTAATTTAAAGTTACGTGCAAGATAGAGTTTATAATGCAGCCCTTTAATTTCCATATAGCTGGAAACCTTGCGAGTTTTAAGCATTGCACATTTGTTGTTACAAGTACTATCCCAGTTTGAATGTAAAAATAGGTCTATGAGAGATTATACTGATCTGAATGGTATATATGGTAGGTGAAGTGCAAAGTGGGGAATGAAAGTAGATCCAGAGTCCTTGTTGCCCCCACTGGACTTTGAAAATGTAAAGGTATGGGATTTAATGGGTCTGTATTACAAGCAGGTAGTTATTTTTGAGTTAATGATAATTAAATCAGAGGAGTCAGTGTTTCAAGGAGAGGCATTGAGTCACTTATCTAGTTCTTAAATTATTAATTCTTTGCATTCCAGTGTATGAAAAAACTTTTAAATTGATTAAAGGTGAGCCTTAAAAAAAAGAAAAAAAAAGCCCAAAGAAAAACAGATGGTCCTTTCTTCCTGGAACCGTAGCTTTAGCTTGATAAATTGTGTGCAGTAAAGTTTTCAAAAAGAGGTTATTACATTTCAGTAATCTCAATTTCAGAAACATTCTTGCAGTGTTTCAGTAAAACTTGCCAAAGTTGGCATCTCAAGGGAACACTACTCTGTTCTTAGCTGTTGCTGTGCTTTCTCATCTGACATCATCAGAAACTACTGACACATTCTGCAGTGTCAGTTTTTGAGGAGATTTTCTAATGGCATTGACAGTTTCCTGTGTAGTCTGACAAGATAGGACTTCTCTACCGTACTTGTAGTAGATACGTACAATTAGTAAGGAATAGCATCGGAAGTGATACAGATTATGATGCAGTTGTGTTCAGCACACGCTGTGGAATATGTACTATTTGAGTAGGTACCAAGGAACATACACAGTAGTGTCAGGTGACCAGATTGTTGCTAGAAGTTAGTTGCATCCTTTATTTTGTTTTAATAGTTTCATTTGTAAAAAGGCTTGTTGTGATATGAACCAGTAAGACTTCACTGGAAATAGAGATGTATTTTAATGATGGATGATTTGCATATGTTTGTTGTTTTAAATAGGACTTTAATTATTGGTGGGCTTGCAGTAATATTTGGATTTTGGTGGTTAAAAGTACCTTGACATCTACATGAAAAATAAATTAAAGTTTGGGTTTAATTTGAGGACTCTCAAAGTGCTGGAAAAATGAGAAGGGGTAACCAAAGGGGTTAGTGTGAGTGCATGTCTGCTGTGTGAGATGATAGTCACTCTGGTTTTGCTTAATGGAGATAGAAAAGATAAATAATAGCATAATTCAGCGTACAAATGTAAAGTACGCAGGTACTGCAGGCACCACTGCTGGATGTATCTTGAAGACTTACTGTTTTTAAGAAGGCTTACTGAGACTGTTAAAGCAGGGAATTATAGCTCAAGTGGATTGGGGCAGGAACAGGTTAGGAAAGGACAAGGTGATAAAGGAAAAAGGAGAATAAGCAAAGGAGGGAAACCTGGAGCAGTTAGGAACAGAGATAACTGAGTAACTCTGTCCAGATCTTCAATCTCTGTATTCAAGTTTTTCTGTGGCTAACATTGCTCTTGAAGAGGCTGCAAGATGTAAGAGCTTTCTAGTTGTCTTTTCACTCGCCAGGTCACTCGTGTTGTAGCTCTCAAAGGCTCAAGTTAGGTTTGGCCCTTGGGTTAAGTGCCAGGGGCAAAGAAAAAAAGGACTCGTGCTGTATTTCAGCACTGGGCTTAGCCCCACCAATCTTTTACTGCACGTCAGTTGATCCATTATAGCTGTCCATGTGTGCGAGCTTCGCCTGAAGCAAAATCAAAGTAATTTGAGTCATCTTAGTTTTCAATGAAGCAGGGCAAAACAACTCAAATTATCCTGCCTTTGCCATGGGCTAAAAGCATGCACACCGACAGCTATGATGGATCAGCTACCATGAAGTAAAATATTGGTGTTGCTAAGCCTAGAAAATTTTAGCACTTAACTCAATTGACGTATCATTAAAGCAGCATGCTGCAGGGAATCTGTACCCATTTATATTGGCATGGAAGTGTTTGTGCTGCCACAGCTACTTCCGTAGGTAGGGATATAAATACTTCGGCATAAAGCGTCTTTGTTCAGGTTATAGCTGGTTCTGCATTCAAATTCTTATCGATAGAGCATATTGTTTTAAAAAAATCAAAAGTGTAACCTACTGAACTTTCTAGTTTAGCTCATGTCTTAAGTATCTTTGTTCTGTTAAAATAGGCTGAAATGAGAGTTTTGAGGAGCTGTGACATTTTGTCTTCTAGCAATTCAATTATGAGCTGCCAGGCTTAATTACCTTAGAGTTGTTATCCTACATGATTTTTAAAGTAGAAATTGAAAAGTATGCTCTTTAATGGAAAGCACAATTGTTATTCTAACAGCTGTTCATGGTAAAGACAGATACGCAAGACTCTCTTGAAGTTGTAAGTGTGAGGGAAGGCTTATACTTCAAAG